TTCATACCTGTATTTTTCATTACTTTTCATGTCACTAGAAGGGGTGCAAAAATATCATATATTGATTATAATACACTCTGAAATTGTATGATGAAATTGTATGCAACTGTTTATTTGTTCCGTCTTAAAAAGAGATATAAAGAATAAAGATAGAAAACATGTAAATGAATTTTATCCCATTTGTATCGTCGGGTGTCTAATCCAATACAAAAATTTGTCCTAAACATCCGTACAATATTGGAGGGAACTGAAAATCACCTCTTTCAACCTGTAAATAACATTTTCAGATGCCGTAAAAATATATAACGTTCTTCTAACACGTGTCGCTCCTACAACGTTCAATTTAGATGTAGAGTTCTAGAAATGTTAAAAAAAAGGTACGTATTTAGATGAAATTATATGGGACTAAAGTAGAATTAAAATTATTACTTTTTTCATGGTTTTTATCCCTATATATACTACATATGTTTACTTACATTGTTACCGATAATAAAAAATATTGCTACGATCAATGTTTTATTTTTATTTAAAAAACAGATAGAAATAATAATAAAAACAAAACATCTATACTAATGTAAGAAGATAGTTTGAGTTTTGAGGGAAGAATATGGGATAGTTTTTATCCCGGAATTCATCACTGTAGGGAGTGAAAATGGGGATGAACGTTTTTATGGGGAATCAACCTAGGGTCAAACCCGAGCGAAGCGAGACTGAGTCCCTAATTTTTAATTAAAAAAAACTTAAGTAAAACAAAAAATATCACCTAATTATAGTAAACACTGAAAATATTTTAAACTAGCATTGCCCGCGGCTGCGCCCGCCTTCAGGTGACCAGAACCCAAATTCTTAAGTTTTACATATTAGTATATATACATTACAGTTTTTGTATTTTTTCTCAGAAATGAGACATTTTCCCGCGGTAAAAAGTATCCTATATATTGACCCGGATAACCAGCTACCATCATACCAAATTTCATCAAAATCCCCCCAGTGATTTTTCCGTGATGCGGTAACAGACAGACAGACAAAAATTCTAAAAACTATAAATTCGACCTCTGTATCGATAATAATGTCTATTGTAATAAGATTTTCCAAAAAATATTTAATGTACAGATTCGTCTTAGTATTTTATTATATGTATAGATTGGTCAAAACTAAATAATCCACAACCCTATGTACCATATCTAGAAGTTACATATCTTCAACTCATATTTGGGAAGTCCTCGATCGTCAGGAGCCGATTATGTACCGACAAAAGGAAAGTGTATTGGAGTTTTTTTTTATGTTTACGAAAATGGTATTTTATTATTGCGTTTCTGTCATTCTTTGTACCAATTGAGTTAGAAAGCACTTATCGTCAGGTGAAAAAGGGAAAATTGTTCGTAAACTTTAAGAACGGCTTGAGAAAAATTCATTATTTACTTTGAAAACGTGTATTGGAATGTAAAAATGTAAGATTCTCCATTTTCTTAAATTTCACAAAGAAACTTGATTATTTGCGATTCAATTGTACTTATTATTGTGACTTTAACTTGTGAAGTTCTTTGTTCAATTGAAAAATTGTATTTTTAATTAAATTATAGGATTTTTTGTTTACACATTAAATTGGAATGAAAAAAATAGATGAGCATGTTGTAAAAACTACGCAAAAATATTTCATTTAAATGGTCAGATATTGGCGAAAATACTTTCTGATGTTTAGGTGATAATTTGACATTTTAAATAAAAACTATTTTTCCGGGTTTTTTTTCAGGTATTGCTTTCACTTATACTTTTTAAAGCTCAATTGAGGGTCTTTTCTATAACATGATTTATAAAAAAATACGTAGAGAATTACACACGGCTTTTCAACTAAATGAATTCAAAATAAAATATTGAAACAGAAAAAATATACTCAAAAGCTAATAAATCTCTCTTTAATTCAAACTTATTGTACCTGTACCTCTTGTATAGAACCATTAATATTTTCCATGTAGAGCCTGTACTTTACTTTCATATTGCATGAGTAATATAAGCGATGTATATTGGCACTCGACTGCGACAAATGAGTCCTTAGACTTATATTAACGTCTCGGAAACGCTTGTATACGTTCTTGATTAGTTATTGTATATTTATAACAAAAGTATACATATATTTTATTACACATATATTTTATTAATACCAGGAATTTTCTATTATATATGGTGAAGGAAAACATCTTGAGGAAACCTGCATGTCTGAGAGAACCTAGCAAGTTTTCGAAAGACATGTGAAGTCCGCCAACCCGCATTTGGGTAATATAGTGGTCTATTGCCTGATCCTTCTGCTATTAAACGGACGCCCATACCCAGCAGTAGGACGTTAAAAATGGCTGAATTCAATACATTATAAATATAAGAGTTTGTGAGTGAGTTTTTTCTCGCTTCTTCTTGCTGTAACGTCTTAATGGTTTGAGTAAAATTTTGATTAAGGACAATAATATATTTTCATTGATGGAATGCGAAAGCGTATTTGTGGCCAAAACTAGTTTTGCGACACGTTTGGCTCAGTTTGTAGTGACCCTACTTGTTGTGCCAGCGGTCGCGGGTTCGAGTCCTGCTGGGGGCATTCGTTTATGTAGTGACCATGAATGTTTGTACTTCAGTCGTGGTTGTTTATGTGTTTATATTTACCATATGTATGTATTTAAAGTTATATGTATACACAAGCCTCATAGCTTACCTTGAATCTAGATAGTGCTGTGTGTTAATATCCCAACATATTTATATTATATTTATTTATTATATATACATACATATAATCATTTTTTTATTTTTTTCTATAATACTCCCCTATTATTTTAATAATGAAATCTTATAGTTCATCTTATACCCATATCAAGCGCAGGGGTTGAACCCCGACCCGACATATGGAGAGCCGTGAATAATGAAGTTATGTGTGACATGAAATAATAGCTAACATTAATCCTCCAACGGTTGCGAGATCAAATTGAAACAACTTTAACCGACTTTATAATACGTAAGTACATTTTTTTGATTTCATTTATGGAAAGAAATACATTTTAACAAAACTAAATATTGTGTTGGTAAAGAATTAAAAACGGCTAGTAGATGTGTGGGTGTATCAATTATTTTTTTTAATATTATTTTGTCCCTAGGTATGTTTTAGTCTTGATACGGTAAATCAATGAAATCTATACTAATATTATAAAGAGGTAAAGTTTGTGACGTTGTAGGGGGTAATTAATCTCTAAATCTACTAAACCGATTTAGATGAAATTTGGTAAGAAGATAGTTTGAGACCCTGGGAAAGACATTGGATACATTTTATCCCGGAAATCATACCTTAAGAGGGTGAAAATGAAGATGAAAGTTTGTATGGAGAATCGAGCTAGGGACGAACGAACCCGAGCGAAGCGAGGGTGATTCGCTAGTCGAAAAATAAAATTTAAATTCCCTGATACTGTCTATAACAACTATATTGCTGTAAATCATTCAAAACTTCCGGAAAGAAAGAGAAAAGACAGTTTTATTTAAAATTCCTATAATATAATATGAGAACAGAAAAAAAATAAACATATTTACTACAAATAAGCAAATAAACTAACATTAACGCCACTTTTTTACAGTCAATCGCATCATCGAGTAACAAAGTGTTATATTTTTATGATCACACGTTAAAATACACTGCCCATTGAATACTGCAGATCGCGCGCGTTAAATATTATGTCGCGTACGCACCGCTGCTCTAACTAACCTATTTAATAAATAATATTGTACATGGGTTCGTCCCTCGTTAAGTTTTAATGTTTAGTATAGATTTATCAGAGATGAGATTTTTTTCTCGCAGTAAAAAGTATCCTATATGTTGATCCGGATAACCAGCAACCATCATAACAAATTTCATCAAAATCCCTCAAAAGGGGTTTTCCGTGATGCGGTTACAGACAGACAAACTATAGATTCGGCCTCTGTATCGATAATAATGTCTATTTCAATAAGAATTTCCAAAAAAATTTAATGTACAGATTCGGATTAGTTATATATTTTAATATACGTTAAATTTCTTTGTCTTGCTACATTTATCAAAAGTCAGTATCGTTCTTCAATCCAACCGGGCGTGAAACTGAGAGAGGTGACCAACTTTCATGTGACCACTTCGCTTGCTTCTGGTTCTTTTTTCATAGTGGAAGGCACCAACCCTCTCACTGTTGTAGTTTGCCTCGGTAGGTAAATCGTCGGAGTGTCATTTTCGATTTTGGTGCTTCCAGGTCGGATTGGGGTTTTAGTGGGTAGTATTGGTTTTTCTAGCCAGTGAGTCCCACATAACCACCTGTATAGGTGCATGTATTATGTGTAAATGCATTTTCCTACTTTAGACAAAAAAAAACAACAAGCTTTAATTATATGATGATTCAAATTGTATATAATTAGCATATTATTATGCAATTATGTAATATAAAATAAAATTCTAAATGGTATCTTTCTTTATAACGATATGTGTTACTTAATTTTTTTATTCTAAATTGTGTACATTGATAAAGAGTAGCCAAAAAAACCTTATACTTTTACTACGAGCATCTCAATCGTGAATTTTAAATTATTTGAGCTCTTACATAGTGAGGATTTCACAAACACATTTACATAACAATTGACATTTATGTATTCAGACCTTTTTAACGTCCCACTGCTGGGCACGGGCCTCCCTATAATACGAGGGGGATCAGGCCATAGTCCACCACGCTGGCCAAGTACGGGTTGGCGGACTTCACATGTCTTTCGAAAACTTACTAGGTTCTCTCAGACATGCAAATTTCCTCACGATGTTTTTCCTTCACCGTAAGGCAAGTGGTAATTATGTTAGAAATGATTCGCACATGAAAATATCAGAGGTGCGAGACCCGGGATTTGAACCCCCTTCACTCGGTTTCCCAAGCAAGCGCGTTACCACTGCCTTTTTTTTGACTTTGAATTGACATTTATATTAGTTGGAATTCAGGGAAATGGCTACTATTATTTTATTCTGATTCCATGCGCCTTATTGTACCTGCAGGGCATATTTACATAAGAAGGTATTGATATTAAAAATTATAAATTCTATATGTTTTTTTTTTTCTTATAATTTATTTATAAGTTTATTTCACTCGCTCGAGTGAATTAAGAATTAAGAGATATACTCAGAGTTTCCTTCTACGAAGACCTATAGACCTATGTCTATACGTCCATCTACGCTATAACGTAGACCGTAGAAAAACTAGTTAAGTTAATAATATCTATTCTAATATTATGTAGACGAAAAATTTGTTTTTTTGTTTAGATGAATTTTAGTAAGAAGATAGTTTGAGACCCTGGAAAGGACATAGGATAGTTTTTATCCCGGAAATCATGGCTTAAGGGGGTAAAAATAATGGGTGAAAGTTTTTATGGGGAAGTAACTTAGGGATGAACCCGAGCGAAGCGAGGGTAAGTCGGTAGTATCATATAAAATTTGGTATTTTACCTGTATTACAAAGATATTATAACCGGTCCATAATAAATTAAATTCAGCGAGGTATGACGATGAAAGCCGATAATACCCACAAAGCTAATTTAATTAGCTAGAATGTTGCCAGCTCTTGATATAGCGTACTTGCCGTACTTGCGATTTCCGCTTGAGCTTGAGCTTTATGACATTTAATTAATATGCAATAATATTATGGTTCATAGGATTTGTTTGTTTTTTGTTTTATTTGTTTTAGATTAATTTCAAGGAGCTTTTGCATACAGTATTTTTATATATCTTCTACTTTCACGTTTTCTAATAAAATTACTGACATAGCATTAAGATTTTTTTATCTTAATCTTAAAATATTAAATAAGCAATTCTTGTATATAAAAACATATTAAATTAGCTTATTTTTCTACTAACCTACGATTTTTAAAATTTACGTTCATTCCGTTTTAAAACCTCTCTGACTCGATTAATTTTGACCGGAGGAAAAAAGTCATGAAACTTTTTTTAAGGAAAATTTTAAGCTCTACACATTTTTATTAAAACTTTTTTATCTAATTTTTACCATTTTTGAGTAATTGCGAAAATACACTTTTGACAAAAAAAAATTTACCCTTGCAGGGGGTTGCAGACACTGTGTCATGAGTATGAATGTTGAACTCCAAGTATGGATGTTTATATTTATAATATGTATTTGACACTTATATATTATGTGTAATGTATCAACTATCTGGTATCCATAACACAAGCCTCGTAGCTTACCATGGAGCTAGATGGTGCTGTATGTTAATGTCCCAACATATTTGTTATTTTTATTTTTGGTGCATGTCATAAGTCTTGGCAATGTATGGTTTATTATTATTTTTAATTTTTATCAAATCGATGTACGATGATATATATATATATATATATATATATATATATATATATATATATATATATATATATATATATAAAAATCTCAATATCTTCATTTAGTAATTACAAATTCGGATATATTTAACATATATTAAACAACAATGAAAGTAACCCCTAACGACTGCGTTGTTTGGTTAGGACGTAATCTAATAGATAAATGTACTGCGGCCTCTATTCCACATAATTGTGATTTTGTAACGCACTGATTGGACTCGCCCAAGGGAAGGAATATTGTTGACATGAAATACTAATATTATTTTCTACCGCTGCTACCTATAGCCCGTGACTTTGCTCGATATTTCAATCGATTTTAAGGAAAATTAGTGATGTTTTTATAGCATCAGTCGTGCTGTTATTAAATACGCAGGAAATATGATTTCAACAACAATAAATGAATTATAATTATGATGTCTATAACGAAATCGTGTTTTTAACCGACTTTTGAAATAAGCTGTAGTAAATAAGTGTAAGTAAATTTCATTAACGAGTATTACTAGTTGATCCGACAGATGTTGTTTTGTTCCAATTTTCAATCAAATTGTTCAAATTTCAGTTGATACTAAAATTGTATAGAAAAAAATATCAAAGTTAAAAATAGAGCTGTCAATATTAACTGTACGAATTTATTACATTAACTAAAAAATAATTCTTGTTTAAAACCATTCAAATATCAAAGATTTATTCTATGCATTTACAGTACCTTTTAACGTGGTTTATTATCATAATAACTTAAAATTCCAGGTTAAAAAGTAAGTACTAAGTCACTATCCAGCTACTCACTTAGAATATAATATACTTATTTGCCAAATCAAGTCGATCAAGTGAAAACTGGACAAACCAACAAACCGAAGAATATGTTACACATTTTTAATATAGTAACGATGGAAGATTGTTTTTTTCTTTAAAAAAGAGCTTAAATCAACACAATTTAATTTGAAAACTCGTATAGATAGACAGAGAGGGTTTATTGGACAGGCTCAGGAAAATTAAGCCACCGTCGGCACTGGAGGTAAGCGAAACAAACCCTTTATAGCACTGTGCTGCGTTTGAACTATGTTTTTATGGAATGAAATAAATTTGATAAGAAAGTCTTGTAATACTTAATTTTTTGATTATATCGTCTGTAAGATAAAATGTTTTCGCTGAAATAGTGAAATTAGATATGGTTTTCCAGATCGAAACTCACCTAGAAGTCTACAATCTACACATATTTAAGAAATATTAGGTATTTGCTTTTAATTAATATCTTCTATTATAATTAATGAACAAAAAATACCTGTCATTAAAAATAATTAGCTACACGCACAAATAGACATACAAAAATACTAACTTAGTTTAGTACTAATTATTTTTAATCGACTTCAAAAAGAAGGAGGTTCTCAGTTCGGTTGTTTTTATTTTCTTTATGTATGTTCGTTCGGGCATAACTTCATCATATATAGACAATTTGCAATGTTCTTTTCTTGTTCGAAACAGGTTATTCCAAAATGGTCACATTTAAATTAAAAAAAAACCACTTCTAAGTGTAGAAAACTACACTAAGGAGTGTTTTTATTTAGAGGATGATTGATTCTTTAACTACTGAATTTTAAAAATACTTTCTTCTTATTCTGCTACTACTACGACTAAAAATACTTGTCATACAAAAAATGGAAAAAAATAATAATAAACGACTTCAAAAAAATATTAAACGTACTGTTTTTCTTTTGATGTAGGTTTTTATTTTTTGAAGTTTTTACTTAATACAAAATTCGTACAAAACCTTTCAAGTAATGCAAACGCAGCATAAGCATCAGCCAGTAGTCTATCTCATCTTCTCTTAGTTATTGGAGACTACAAAGAAGCACAAAGTTGAACACCTTTCTGTACTTAATACGAAACTTACATTGTTCAAAGCTGCCCTTTTTACTTGATTAAAAGTGACATGATGTTTAAAAGCTTTTATTATAAGAACAAGATTACATTTTCCTTCACTACAACGATATCTTCTAAGGTAGTTCGGGGTTCAAAATTTCTCATAGCAAATTTATAAGTTTATAAACTTAGGCAGTGATAGCCTAGTGGTAACACGTTCTTTTGAAAGACCAATAGTACAGGTTCAAACTCCAGATTTCATATGTGAATCGGTTTTAAAATGGTTATTCACATAGCATATATTTAGCTTTACAGTGACTTAAAAAATCATTAGGAAATCCGCATGTCTGAGAGAACCTAGCAAGTTTTAGAAAGGCATGTAAAGTACGCCAACCTGCACTTGGCTAACTTAGTGGACTATGGTCTGATCCTCCTCGCATTCAAGGGAGGTCCATGCCATGCAAATAGATATTAGAAGAGCTAAATCCTGCTAATATTATAAATGCGAAAGTTTGTGAGGATGTATGGATGTCTGGATATATAGATGTATGGATGTTGTTTTTTCACGCAAAAACCAACGAATAGATTTTAATGAAACTTTACAATAATATAGCTCATATATCAGAATAATACATAGGCTACTTTATATCCCGAAAAAATGTACGGTTCCTTTAGGATAGATTTGTTTTCCATTTTCTAGAGACGAACCCGAGCGAAGCTAGGGGGAGCCGCTAGTTATTAATATTATAAATTTATTAGCTATATACATATGTGTCAGAGGTTATCCTAGCGGGATTATCATAGAAGTACGACTGCAGGTATCGATAGTTGCAGTTTTGCGTCTTCCAACTATTTTAAAGTGACGCGATTTTGCTATGTTCAGGTCGTCCCTAGTCTTGCTATATTTTAATACTTCATGTAATGCATTGAAATGTAAAGAAGATTGTGTCACTCCCCAACAATTAATAAACTCTAGATAGATCCTTCACGAGAAAAAGTCAGTACATATACTTTCGCGAGCATCAATATCTTTATTTATTGATATTTGACCAACTTTAAAAAAGAGAAGGAATCTATTCGTTTGGGTTTTTAACCCCCGACGCAAAAAGAGGTGTTATAAGTTTGACGTGTTGTTTGTAAAAAACTCAATCTTAAAGTTCCTCTTAAGTATGTATTAATAATTCTAAAAAAATACGTCGTGTTGGTGGACCGGGCATTCATTTGTGTGATAAGCACGAATGCTTGTACTCCAGTAATAGGTGTTTATGTTCATAATATGTATGTATTTATAGTTAGGTATATATATATTCTTCTTCTTAAAGTGCCATCTTCTTTCGAAGGTCGGCGATCATTAAAGCAACTTGTATCTTTGATGCCGCAGCTCTGAATAAGGAACGGGTGCTTTTTCCAAACCATTGGCGTAGGTTTTTTAGCCAAGATGTTCTTCTTCGACCCACATTTCGTTTTCCTTGGATCTTTCCTTGTATGATGAGTTGTAGTAGGTCGTATTTTCGGTTTCTCATTATGTGGCCGAGATATTCAAGCTTTCTTTTCTTTACTAAGTATAAAACTTCAGGTTTTTTCTTAACGCGACTTAGCACGGTTACGTTTTTTATTTTGTCTCTCCAGGATATCCTTAACATTCTCCTGTATACCCACATTTCCAAGGCTTCAATCTTCTTACAGCTCGATTCTGTGAGGGTCCATGCTTCAACGCCATACAAGAGAATGGAGAAAACATAACAGCGTGCTAATCGTACTCGGAGCTGGATGTTCAGCTTTTTATTGCACAGAAGTGACTTAAGCTTAAAGAAAACATTACGGGCTTGTTCAATGCGGCACCTTATTTCAAGACTGTGATCACCCGTATCATCAACCCAGCATCCCAAATATTTGTATTTGCTAACTTTTTGTAGAGGTTGTCCATTACATAGTAGTGTAGAGTTAGCAGGTGGTATTTTACAAACTGTCATGTATTTGGTTTTCTTGGTGTTGACACTAAGGCCATACGTTGAACTAACAGATTGGATTTTATCTATAAGGATCTGAAGTTCTTCCATTGTAGATGCAAGCAGTACAGTGTCATCGGCATAACGGATATTGTTAATAATCTGTCCATTCACTGTAATACCTATATCCATCTGATCCAATGCTTCACTGAAAATCATCTCTGAGTATATGTTAAAAAGAATTGGCGAGAGAATACATCCCTGCCGTACTCCACGTAAGATTTCCGAATCATCTGTTAGTCTGCCCTCTATACGTACATTCGCCGATTGGTTCCAATATAGGTGTTTAATAAACCTTACGTCCTTAGAGTCGAGTCCGATGGATTGTAATATATCGACCATTTTTGCATGCTGTACCCTATCAAATGCTTTTTCATAATCGATAAAGCATACAAACACATCTTGATTTATGTCCCAGCATCTCTGTATTAGGACTTGATACCCGAAAAGTGCATCTCTCGTTCCTAGGCCATTCATGAACCCAAACTGTGTTCTTGAAATGAGGTCTTCACATTTACTATAAATTCTTTTATGGATTACTTTAAGAAACAATTTTAGGGTGTGGCTCATTAAGGAGATGGTTCTGTACTCGCTGCATTTCTTTGCAGAAGCAACTTTGGGCAAGGTGACAAAGGTGGATTTAAGCCAATCCGACGGTATGACGCCCGAATCATATATGGTGTTGAATAACTTTACTATTATTCCTAAGTTAGCATACTCAAGCACTTTCAACAGTTCCACGGGTAATTCATCACCGCCTACAGATTTTCCTGACTTGGACATGTTAATGGCATAAGCAATTTCACTTTTACTAATTGGTGGTCCAGTTAACTCACTTCCACATGAACTTGATTCTAGAGCAGGTCTAACGTCATGGAATAGTGTTGTTATATAATTTTGCCAAGTATTAAGTTTATCTTCAATTGTTTTAGCAGGATTTCCCTGATCATCCAGTAAAACGTTACAGTTCATGTTTCGTGTTTTAAAAGTACCCGTTATTTCCCTGACTTTCCTATGCACATTAAAATAATCATATCTGGCCTCAAACTCTTCTATCGCAATGCATTGGTCAACCATCCATTTTTCTTCCGCTTCAAGTACTTTTGTTTGGATTAACTTGTGTATGTATTTATATTGTTGATCGTCTACTCCTTTGTGGGTTCTGCGCTGTTCCATTAGGCTTAAAATCTCCTCAGTGATCCAGCGGTTTTTTATTTTACATTTTAATGGTTGGAGAATTCTTTTACCAGTATCAACAAGCTTTTCCTTTAATTTAGTCCATGTCTCTTCTACGTCAACATTAGGACCAAGTTCTTTGTTCAAGCGGTCAACAGCCATATTTATTTCTGTAGCTGTTTTAAGCCGTATTTCCGGTTCTTTAAGTCTGGTCACATCCATTTGTTGTCTTTTTGATTTAGGTTTTAGAATTTTCATACTACAGCGAAGGGATGCAACAACCGGATTGTGATCAGATCCAATATCGGCGCCTGGATAGGTTTTAACTGATTTTAAACTGTTGCGGTATCTTTTGTTTATCAGAATATAATCAATTTGATTACGGACGATCTTCTTCGGTGAATGTAATGGTGAAGTCCACGTATACAATCTTCTTGGAGGTTGCTTAAATTGGGTATTTGAAATAATAAGCCCGTGTTCTTCGCAGAATTGTAGAAGGCGGTCACCGCGATCGTTTCTTTTTCCCAGTCCAAATGGACCAACGATGTCCGAGACTTTGCCCTCTCCGATTTTTGCATTAAAGTCACCTTGGACTAGGATAATGTTGTGTGGATTGAGATGTTTAAGAGCGTTTTCTACTTGTTCGTAAAAGAGTTCATTATCCTCGTCAGTAGCATCGGTGGTTGGTGCATAAACCTGGACTATCTGGATGTTTCTAGGTTTTGCTCTTAACTCCAGGACTAAAACTCTGTCCGATATGGGTAAGAAACTCTGAACCTGATGATGTAGATGTCTGCTGATAATGACGGCCACACCGTTGTAGTGATTTTTATCATTGTTACCGCTATAATATACTACTGTGTCATCCCGTAACAAGACTCCAGTTCCCTGGTGCCTAGACTCACTCACCCCAAGGATGTTTATCTTAAGTCTTAGCATCTCCCGTTCTATATTTACCACTTTATAGGTGCGGTACATACTCTTGACGTTCCACGTAGCAATCGTCATGGCTGACCCGGAGATTCTTCGCACCCTCTGACCATCAAAGGTCTGCCGGGGACTGAGGGCCATTTTTATATTGTTTTCAGCCATAATGATCTTCCTGGGGAAATATATGTGGTGGTTTCCCGTTGCCTTCCACACGCTGTACTATTGCCGTACCGATGCACACCATCTCCGTCAATAGCTTCCTTTTCCAGAACAGTTCCAGCCAACTAGACTTCCTCTTCTGAAAATACTGTTATGCAGCTGCCCATAACATAGGAGTGCTTATTTACTGGCGGCACGACACGCCAGGTCACAAGGACATCATTGGATATTGCAGCATTTTATAGGCTATTCTTTCCTAAGGAATAACCACTGCATCCTAGTACCTTGTCGCTGAATGGTCGGGGACTGCAATGCAGCTAGCGAGGATATCTCCAAGCCGTTCCATTATCCGCCACCTATGGACCCCGGTAGTAGCCTACAGCTCAGCCCTACCAATATAAAAAAACCCAACCCTACCAATATAAAATATATATATATATATATATATATATATATATATATATATATTAGTATATATATGTATAAAATAAGTAAAAGGAAAATATAAAGCCAATTTTAATTTCAACAAGTTTGCGTCCTGAGATTTCAATAACAACATATCAAAAGAGGATAGATCCTGAAACTGTAAAAAGTTTTCTTTACCAATTACGCCCTTATTACATATGGTATAAGGTCAAAAGTTGAGTAAATATAATAATCTTTGGACTGTATTTTATTCCTACATTGAACGCACCTATAAGCAATCACGAACATTCTTTAATAGTAAAAATGAATTTGCTAAGCAAAAATACAACTTATTGTAAAGGAAAAAGGGTAAGTTTTATATAAAGTTAGGATATATTCACATGGTCGTCTTTTAATGATGTCGTATACGGTATGCTTTGATCTTGTTTGTAGTGGATGGTTTAAGAAGTAAGAAATTATGGCATTAAAATGTTTTTTTTAGATTTGTGTAAACTAACATATATTTTTTGTCTCTAGAATTTTTGACATTTTAATATATATTTTTTTTGTGGTTTTTATATGATTTTTTTTTGTTTTCAACGTTTTGAATAATTTTCAATACCTGTCCAAAGCAGAGATAAAAAATGTTGACATTACAAAAGTCATAGTTATTGCAAAAAAGTGTCTAGCCATAGAAATTATATAATAATTTCTAATAAAATGTATTTTTGGTCGAGACAAAACGAGAAAGAGACGAAAAATCAAATATTAAAAGGAAGTCTCGTTTCAAAATTGGAGTTTAAAGGGTGGTATTTCTATCGTACTAAGGTTAGGTTTCTTTTTGCATACAGAAACTCCTGTATTTAAAAATCACTTTTTACTTATTAATATACTTAATTATTATTTTTTATGGTTTCATTTAACATTCGACGCAAAACGCCCTTCACTTTACACTTATACCAGATGTCGATAGTAAAACTTATCCGATAGTTGCGGGTTGTATCAAAGAACACAACTTCGTGATACTTCGGCAACTTCCGCCGAACTTCGAGAGTAACGAGATTCTTCTTTGATGAGTTTCTTTTAATAATGAATACATGTAATCAGTTCCTTTCCTTTATTGTCGATTAGCTTCTACCCACGATTTCGTCCTACATTTAATTAATAGATGTCTTATTTAGACCATTTTCTCTGCTAATATATTTTTAATATCTATCTCAAGGTCTTACTATTCTTATATATAACTAGCGACTCACCCTCGATCCGCTCGGGTTTATCCCTAGTTACGTTTAGTATAGATTTGTAAGAGATGAGATACTTTCCCACAGTAAAAAGTATCCTATAATTATGCTAACCCGGATAACCAGGTATCATCATACCAAATTTCATCAAAATCTGTCCAGTGGTTTTCTCGTAATGCGGTCACAAACAGACAGACAGACAGAGAGACGAAAACTATAGATTCGGCCTCTGTATCGATAATAATAACTAATTGTTATAAGATTTTCCAAAAAATATTTAATGTACAGATTTGACTCATTTAGAATTTTCTTATATGTATAGGATTAAAATGATTTAAAAAATGCTTGTAAAAACTCATATGAATACAGTATTTATATTTGAATTAGATTTGAAATCGATAGGGTTACCTTTACTTACATGCTAGCGGTTAGCATGTATAGTTGCAAATCTTGAGGTCCAAAGGTGGAGGTGTGGATACTTGGAGTTGGCAAGTTGTTGTGTTACACACTATTACAATATAACACACATGGTACATGGTAACACCATCGATCCTGTGCCTAATATCTTTTCATAGGTCATGTTATACTGTCATCTCACCTGCAAAAAAGAAGAGAGGAGTAGTGAGTGCATTTGTGTCTACGCGTAGTTGTGCACCTGTGCACAATATCTCCTAGCACATGGGCAATCTCAGTGAGATTGACCTCCGTGGCCGAATCAATCTAGAGATTATTATACATAAAAACCAAACTTGTTCAATGTACTGAAAACTTTCCGATAGTCATCCGACTTACTCGTGTGCTACCTACATTGGTATACAGTATTTAAAGCGGAACTGATATCGTTATAAAGTAATCGAGATAAGAGTAAGTAAATAATAATAATGTTCATAATTTATAGATAGATAGAAAAACTCTTTCTAACTTTACTCATATAACTATAGATTTCTTGAAAATGTCTTATATGTTTAGGGTGCGTCCCTAGGTATGTTTTAATTTTTTTTGCAGAACCCTATTTATTTTCTATAATAAAAGTAGCTTAAGTTACTCCTTATAACGTTAGCTATCTGCCAGTGAAAGTCTCGTTTAAATCTGTCCAGCCGTTTTGGAGATTAATCTGAACAAACAGACAGACAGACAGACAAAAAAATGTAAACATTGTGTTTTTCTTATAAGTACTATATATATTTTCATATGTATTTAGTAAAAAACTGTAATTTGGTATTACAAACAGACACATCAATTTTATTTATCTGTATAGATGTATAGATACTAGAGATAATAATTATTTTCAAACCTAAACTATCAAAGGAACATACCCTCTTCACCATACACGAAATTAGTGCTAATAATCAATAAAAACCCCTTTTTACTCTCGCCCTCAATTTCAGTTTACCTTAAGTCCACTTTTTCTTCCATATTTTTCGAACGTCATCCAAACACAAGGACTGTATAAACTATCAAATTTGCATTCTTATTAATATGCATTAGAACTTTGAAATGCTAACCAGACACCTAAAGAAATCGAATTCAAGATTGAATATAATCACGTCCACGATTCCACAAGGGCTGCATTCAATTTGTATGGTAATAACGCTATGGGCAATGGGATAGAAGTTAATACTTATTATTTATGACGGTGTCAAATTTAAGGGTTAGTTGAAGTTTATAATTTTTATTCTTCTAACAAGAACTGAAGAGATATAAATTATTGTATTATTTTGCTTTTCATTTTGAAACCTAAAAACATAGATTGATAGAATAATAACACTTATTTCTATATAGTCAGGGTGCAATACTGTAGCCTATAATTTAATAATAATTTTATTTATTTTTCTCATCACAAAAATCAAATATATCAAAGTTCTTACATCATAAATAAACTTAATAAATGACAGTAATAGAAGACTTTGTGAGAGACTGGTGTGTGTTCTAGGTAATAATTCATTGTTGCTTTTCTTTAAACCGCTCGACCGATTTCGATTAAAAAATGGGATCACCTTGGAAGTATACCTTCCGAAACAAAAAAAATATATTTACAAATCGGTCCAGTTCTCTTCGAGTAATAGGTGAACATACATAAAAAAAAGATTCCGACGAATTGAGAACCTCCTCCTTTTTGGAAGTCGGTTAAAAAGAACCTACATTACAGATCGCTAAGGGTGAGTACCCTTGCTTACAATTATAAGTTTAATACGTTTAGTTTTCACAGTAAAATGTAGTTAGCAAAACTGATTTATAATATTAATTAGATAATTGTAATAGAACTAATGTTTGGTTTGGTTTGGTTTCACTTGGCGTTTTGGACATCGTTTTTGTTCGGAAAAGTTGTAAAATTTGCGTCTTTTTTTTCAACAAAAAAAAACACCTACCTAAACATAAAATTTGATCCAAATCAAATATTAAATTAAAATAATTAAATATTATATACATATGTATGTATATACAAGAATTGCTCATTTAATATTCCAAGTTAAATCATAATATTTATAAAGAACAGGTGAAACCGCGGCCGGAAGCTCGTATATCAATCCAACCGGTGTGCTAGCCGGTGAGTGTAATCATACTCAGAAGACATAGAGATTCCCTTTCACATTCATGATATTGTTATGGGTAGTCTGTAAAGTTTTAAATTGAATAGGACGCAGACTGACTCTAGGGTAAAGAGACGTGAGTTGGGACCGATCTACGTAAAGTATGTAAATGCGATGACGTAAATATTGTTAGCAAACACTTTTAGTTATGGAAATAAAATTATTAAAATATATAATTATAATTTTTGACTGAAGAATTATGTGGATGGAGCTCGTTAAAAATAAATATCGAAGACAAAAATAGTAGCGTGATTTGCTTTTTATGCTTCAATTCGGTTTTTTCATACAACTTTCTTGAAAAATTAGAGGAAGTTTTATATAAGTACTAGCGACTCACCCTCGCTTCGCTCGGGTTGGTTTTAACGGTTTGTATTGAATAGATAGTCATTCCCTTGCTCTGTCAAAAACCAAAACAAATCTATCACACGGGAACTGTACATTTTTCCGGGACAAAAAGTAACCTATGTGCTATTTTAGACTATAATCTGCCTCTGGGACAAAATTCATCCATATCATTTCACCTGTTCTGGCGTGATTGAGTGACAAACATTTATTAGAATTTTCGAGAAGCAAATATGAATTATAATGAATAATAAAATTAATACTATATTCTTTTGTATTTTTTTAGGTTTAATCATCTTCCCCTTGAAAGAGACATAGCACAATAGTAGCTCATTTAATTTTTTTCTTTATTATAATAAAATCTATTTATCTATTTTTATTTATTAACATTTAGGTACCTAATTATCACTCAGTATACGAATTG